AAGTCTTTCTTTAATTTCTTGACAAAATCTCCATTGGAGTCAACTGTTTTATCCTTAGCATTTGGGAGAACAAGAGGAGCTCCGGACTTCCTGGGATCTTTAAAGGGATCAATCCTTGACGGTAACAAGATATTTTCAGGCTTGAGATCGGTATGTATGATCGAGACCTGTTTATGCAAATAGTCTAATCCAACCAACATATGATAACAAATCTCTTTAACCATTGGAATAGGCAAGCCACGGCAGTCAGAATACTTTATGAGCGTTAACAGATTATCTCCCAAGTAGTGAAAAACCATACATACATGTTGCCCATTCGGACCTGAGTGCTTGAAATAATCCAAAAGCTTCACGACACATTTGGTATCATCAGTGTCTCCCTCTGCAATCTGTTGCAATATGGTTATCTCATCCATTGCAGCTTCAGCATAATGCTGAGCACTCTTTTGCACCTTTAAAGCCACATATCTCTGTGCATTCAACCAAAATACAGTACAGAGTAAGAAACTCACACAAACAAAGTAACCAAATCAATATCCAAAGCATTTCATATAACTGCCGAAACATATTCTTAGATACCAATTTCCTTTTTGTTCACTAGATGAGTACGAATCTCAACTTAGTTCCTAACCAACAATGAATACACCACGATATAGAACAAACTTTCAAGTAAGGATTAGCTTGAAGCAAATCGTATGAAAATCAGCGAGAGAGAGGTACGTACAGAGGATTGAGTGTCTCAAGCGAGCCAAACAGTGGAGAAATGGCCCCAACCGAGTTGCTCTGAACAACGTACCGGCCGTTTTTGAAAGAGTCACCAATCCGAACGGCGTGGTAACCGCCGCGCCGGTAATCCTCCGTCCCTTCGTCCTCCGACCACCGTCGCTACTCCACTTCCATATTCACCGATCTTGACGCAAAGGAGAAGGAACAAATCTAACTATCTCAATCTCTCTACTCTTGGAGAATCCGACGACGATAGAGAGAGAGAGCTTAGCTACTTCTTCAAACAATCATCTACCTTTACAATACGTCGCCGTCTCCTCCACCGGCGGCTTGGGGAAAAAATCAAAAAAATTATTGAGGAGATGCTGACGTCATCAACAAAAGTATAATTGGCTAAAAAATTATGGGCCTGTGAAATGGGCTTTATAGGGTGGGCTAACGAAATTAAGAGATATATATATATTACGGAAATGGGTTACGATGTTGTAGTCTCTTATATAAAGTCTCGATTGAATTAGGGTTTCGGGAGCTTCCTGAGGAGGAAGAAGAGGAGCAGGAACCGGTTCTCAAGTAATCAAATCTCCACTCTCTTTCTTTCGATTTCGTTACTGTTTTTTCATCTAATTGCAATGATTCGTGAGTACACTGTGAGACGGGTCGATTAACTGAATTGGGATCTTCATTTGTTTCAATCGGATTGTGTGGCTCGTTAGTTTAGTGGCGAAAGCTGGGTAATTTCATGGGTTTCGATAGGATATTGAGATTGTGTTCTGCTGTAACTGGATCTCGTTATAGCTTTGATACATTTTCTTACATGTTGGTATGTATTTGGTATTGTATGATTCATTTCTATTATGTAGCCTGAGATCTATCAAGATCAAAGATCATTTTACTTGTTTATATGGTTGCTATGTCTCATTCCTTTGTTACATTTGGAATACAGGACGGAACTTTGTCGTTTCAGTGGCCATAACATTTACCCAGGAAGAGGAATTAGATTTATCCCATCTGATTCTCAGGTAGCTTCTTTTCTTATAAATCTTTGAACTTTATCAAATTGATGTTTTATATAGTTTTGCAAATATTCTTTGTCTTTATCCTCTAAAAATGATTAGATAGGTTCAAGAAGGAAGTTTTTGATTATGTTTTTGAAGATAAACGGTTATATAATAGTTGAAAACTATAAATAATAATAAAAAACTGTAACAAATATGTTTGTTATAACATTTTTTTTGTAACCTTTTAGTAATGTTTTTATTTTTGATTAGTATAAAAACGATATAACTTTTGCTGCAACCATTCAAATTATCAATAAAACTAAAGTCAAGATGATAAAAATGCAATGTTCATCTCAAAAACCCAGCACACAGCTCGCTGGTCAAAATCTTGTGTTCATTGCTAGAGCAGACTTGTTCACGGGAATATATCCGTAAACCAGGATGTTCATCTCAAAAACCCAGCACACAGCTCGCTGGTTAAAATATTGCTGGAGCATTCTGGTTATTTTCTCACAAAATTTCACAAATTAAACCTACTTAGACAAATTAGTTTATGGAAAATATACATACTATACTAAACAAAGAGTTATCAAATAAGGTATTTCATAACATTTGTTTGGATATTGATGTGGTGACATTTTGG